ATTCCCCAGCCAGCTGGCTGGGGAATTCTGGGGGTTGAAGTCCACACATCTTCAAGTGGTCAAAGGTTGAGGAACCCTGCTGTACAGTGTTTGTAATGATGAGAACCATGGTAACCATGAGGATTATGGGAGCTGCAAGCCAGTATCTGGAGGACTGTATGTTGGCCATCTTATACAATTATAGCTATCAGCTAACTTGCGGGTGTAATATACTTGCTAATGGCACCTCCCTCCCCATACCACTGGACTGATAATTAAATCTTATTTCAACAGTGAGGTACAATTGTATCTATTACCACTCCTGAGAGAGCAGGGTAATTTATGGGGGTCTGGAGGTGAGGCATAGCTGGGAGCTGCCATTTCTGTTCTTCCGACATCCTGCATTTCACTCTGCCTAATGCTAGGGCTGATTTCCAACCTACCCATCCTAAAGCAAATCAAAGTTATTCAACACACCAAGTAAGTGTTTATGGACTAAAGTATACTTATAATTCAAGATAGCCCTTTCAAACTTTCAGAGGACCTAGCTAATGGTTCTCAGGAGGAGGAGGAGGAGCAGCAGCAGCAGCAGCAGCAGCAGCAGCAGCAGCAGCAGCCAATTAGATGTTGTGAAAAGTGACAAAGGGTTAGCCTTACGTAGACTCCAAGAAATTGCCAGTGCACAACATGTATGTACAAAACTAACAGAAAATTTTAAAAACAACAACACATACACCAACCTTCAGAGGATGCACTTATTAAAATGTGAAGAATGAATGTAATATGGACATATAATTAGCAATGGAGGCGAATATGTGTAGCTCAGGGTTGAACTGTGGAGTCTTTGGGGTTCTCTGAGTTTGGTTCTTTTCTTGCAAACGTTTCATTACCCGGCTAGGTAACATCTTCAATGCTCTGAACAATCCTCAGTGCACTGAAGATGTTACCTAGCCGGATAATGAAACGTTCGCAAGAAAAGGACCAAGCTCAGAGAACCCCAAGGACTCCACAGGACATATAATTCCTCTATAAATTAATTACTAAGAGTTATAGGGAATGTGCTCCTTCTTTTATTAAATCTTGTTGAACTTACCATGTAAATAATTTTGTTTTAAAAACAATAGAAGATCAGGAGCAATGGTTTGTATGATGTATGCACAGTAATATTCCATTCCAACTCTTTCATTTTACTGAAAACCATCTCATTCATCCCCCCCCCCCCCCTCTTTAATCTATATTTTATTCACATTTTTTTTTTTTTCATTCATAAAT